TGTTTTTATTAGAATCTATGAATTGTATAAATGAATGATTTCATTATGATGTTTTGATGCATGCTTATAACCTGCTTTGATCATATACATACATCTCTATTACACTTGCTAGTCTCTCTGGTCCCCTTTCTCTTTTCAAATAATAATTCTCTTTCTACTTTCTTATCATGTTTATAATATCTGGATTCCTTATGTGAGAGAAAAAATAGTATCTGTCTTTCTAACTTTGACTAATTTTGCTTAATATGACTATATTAAAACTTTAAAATACATGCCAAATGCTGATAAGCTATTGGCTGACTAAATGTGATGTTGTCATCTTTATGGTAGGTATAAAACCAAGACTATGAGGCAATAGCCAAAATGCTTCATGAATTAAATACTCTCATCTCCTTGTAGAAATGCTGGATCATATTTATTTCCTATTGCAACTTAATATTTGCTTATTTCCTGGAGTCATTATATTGAGATAAAAGTGGAACCTTGCAGGGAGCCATGTGACTTCTTTGGGGAACAATGCCTGAGAATAGCATGAATGGCTCTCTCATGGCAATTCCCTGGAGGCTCTGACCCACTTGGCAAGGTCCTGTGGACAGTTCACTGTATGATTCTGAGCATGACCACAGGAGCAAATGTGCCATGTGCTCTCCTTGTTTTCACCATGCTAGCCATACTACTGGCCTGAATGAGTCACAGTATGTCACCAAGTTTATTATTACATACTTGCATAACTTTTCTGGAAAAAATAATTTTAACCATGAGCATTTTAAAGGAATGCTATTAAATAGATGATACTAGGAGTTAATGGGAACATTCAAGGAACAGGGAATAAAGCAGAACCATAAAAACCCACAGTTCCCTCATTTCTAATAACTGTGCCCAAATCCCAAGAAGTTAAGGAAGATGGAAATAAGGATAAGGGCCAAGCAGTGCTAACTATTAAAAGTAAGTTTTCAGGATATTTGGCCTATAGGTAAATGGAAAAACCTGGTATATCCCCAGAGGAGATAGACTGGTCCAGATTGTAGAATGGATTGATCCATATTTGGCTAGTGAATTGACTGTGAGGACCCAGCCACTACCAAATGTAAGTATTAACCACAAGATACCAAACTGTCTCTCACTTTGTATGACACTATAATCACATGTGCTACCAACTGGGCAGACTGTTATACCTACGGATGCACCTAGTTAGAAAAGTTCTGTTGTAGCTTGCAAAACTGCTTGTGTTTCTGACCATTAAGATATATATGTAATGGCTGCTGGTGAGCGAGTTGGGAGACAAGGAAAAAGAGTCAAGGAACAAACTGGTAGTTATTGTAACCATTTTTAGAAACTTAAGAAGTAAAAGATGGTTGCAAAAATGTTCACACGAACCAAGGAAACTATGTAAATTAAGACAGCTCATGCAATCCAGAGTCACCTGTTTGAACAACAAGTGATCACAGCCTCTTCTTGGCATTGACTTCACACATCCATCCGAGGTCATTGAGCCCATCTGGAGCAAGGCTTTCACCAGAAGCTAGACTTTCTGCTAATGCTAGGCATATATGCTATCTCTTTAGCTGTGATGTCATGCAGCAGGATATAGGTCCTTTACAGAGTGCACTCACTACATGTCTAGATAGATTTTTAAAAAATGCACACCCAGTATCCTGTATGTTACATGACAGAAACACATGTATGCTCACAATCCTATTCTTCCTGATAGAAAAAAGTAATAAATAATTTGATTTATTTAACACAGAATGAATTCTAATGTACAATGTATATTTTTATGGATTTTTATTTTTATTTTATTTTTCAATTTTTAAAATTTAAATTAGAAACAAGATTGTTTTACATGTCAATCCCAGTTCCCTCTCCCTCCCCTCCTCTCCTGCCCCCACTAACACCCTACTTATCCAATACCATTTCTGCTCCCCAGGGAGAGTGAGACCTTCCATGGGGGGGTGTCTTCAGAATCTGTCATATCCTTTGGGATAGGGGCCTAGGCCCTCCCCCGTGTCTAGGCTGAGAGAGTATCCCTCTATGTGAAATGGGCTCCCAAAGTCCATTCCTGTGATAGGGATAAGTACTGATCTACACTACAAGAGACCCCATATATTTCCGAGGCCTCCTCACTGACACCCATATTCATGGGGTCTGAATCAGTTCCATGCTGGTTTCCCAGTGATCAGTCTGGGGGCAAAGTGCTCCCCCTTGTCCAGGTCAGCTGTTTCTGTGTGTTTCACCAGTGTGGTCTTGATCCCTTTGCCCATCAGTCCTCCTCCTCTGCAACTGGATTCCAGTTCAGTTCAGTTCAGTTTTTAGCTGTGGGTATCTATGTCTACTTCCATCAGCTGCTGGATGAAGGCTCTGGGATATAAGGTAGTTGTCAATCTCGTTTTTAGGGGAGGGCATTTAAGGTAGCCTCTCCACTGTTGCTTAGTTTGTTAGTTGGTGTCATCCTTGTAGATCTCTGGACATTTCCCTGGTGCCTGATTTCTCTTAAACCTATATTGGCTCCCTCTTTGATGGTATCTCTTATTCTGCTCTCCTCTATTCTTCCCCCTACACAACCTTCCTGCTCCATTATGTCGTCCTCACCCCTCCTCTTCTTCCCTTCTCATTCTCCTAACTCCCTCCCCTCTCCCCCATGCTCCCAATTTGCTCAAGAGACCTTGTCCCTTTCCCCTTCACCGGGGGACCATGTATGTCTCTTTTAGAGTCCTCCTTGTTGCCTAGCTTCTCTGGTAGTGTGGATTAGGCTGGTAATCCTTTGCTCTATGTGTAAAATCCATATATGAGGGAGTGCATACAATGTTTGTCTTTGTGTGACTGGGTTACCTCACTCAGAATGGTTTCTTCTAGTGCCATCCATTTGTCTGCAAATTTCAATATTCCACTGTTTTTTTTTTCCCTGCTGATTAGTACTCCATTGTGTAAATGTACCACATTTTCTCTATCCATTCTTCAGCTGAGGGGCATCTAGGTTGCTTCCAGGTTCTGGCTATTACAAATAGTGCTGCTATGGAACATAGTTGAACAGATGTCCTTGTTGTATGAATGTGCTTCTTTTGGGTATATGCCTAAGAGTGGAATTGCTGGATCTTGTGGTAGTCTGTTTCCCATTTTCCTGAGGAATTGCCATACTGATTTCCAAAGTGGCTGTACAAGTTGGCACCCCCACCAGCAGTGGAGAAGTGCTTTCTCCCCATCCTCTCCAGCATAAGTTATCATTGGTGTTTTTGATTTTAGCCATTCTGACTGGAGTAAGATGACATCTCAGAGTTGTTTTGATTTGCATTTCCCTGACGGCTATGCTTTTAAATTATACTTTTCCCAGTTTTCCACTTGAAACTGTTACCAAATTTACTTTTCACGCCAATTGTCTTTTGAGTAATTTTAGATACTTTTTTTTATCTGGTAGAGGTAAATGCACTTTTACTTATTCATCTTCTATGACCTCCCCACCCCTGGCCTTTCATCTGATTGCAGCTCTCTTTAACACTGGCCTTATCCGTTGTGCTGTGTCTGTGCTTCTTTTGTGGGGCATTTTCTTGCTGTCTCTTTCTCTAGGTATTTATTTTCCCCTGTATGCTTTTTCCATTTTTTTTTTGTTTAAGTCATAACTGCTTTTCTGTTGCTACTGCCCATTACCGTCGCCTTTAATAATGATGTACATGGAATGGAAAGTTAGAGACAATACCCATAGTTCTGTTACCTTCATAATAAAGAAAATGGTGAGGGTTGATGGTAACCTACAACCTGTTGATGTTACTGTGATTATCAGAGAATAGCTTTCTCTGGGAGTAAAGACATCTTCCCCTGACTGAGGTTAAGCTTCTCTTGTTTCTGTCTTTTTTTAAACCACTTTTTGCCTGCAATCTTTGTTGTCCCTTATGAGAGATAATTAATAATTAAAGTATGGTAATATATTTTACTATTTGTTTCATAATTTCTCCACTAATTAACACATTGAACTTTTTACAAAATATGTATAATGTGCATTCATAGTGGTTATACTGTGGCAAGCCTCTTATTTATTCACTGTTTTTTAAGGCTTCATGTTTATCTTCTGTTATGTTCTTTTTGTTGTTGTTTTTTGCTTTGTTTCTCCGTATAATAGCTCTAGCGGTCCTGGAACTAGCTCTGTAGATCAGGTTGGCCTCAAACTCACAGAGATCTGTCTGCGTCTCACTCACAAGTGTGGGGATTAAAGGCATGCACCACCACCACCCAGCTGTTATATTTGCATATCCAGCTATCTTCCTTCATTCTAATGCTCTGTCTTCCTCTGCTCCCAACCACATTTGTTTGTAACAAAGCTGATGCTCTGGATCCCACTCACACCAGAAAACTAACACCAAGCTATGTGAAGTTGGCCATATTCCCTCCTCTCATTTTAGACTCTTTCCAGACATCTGTGCAATAGGAGGCTTTTCCTGTTCAGTTGTGGTCTGATATATTCCCTCAGAACATGGCACCAGCTTTTCAGACATAGATGATACAAACAATAGTCTATTAGTAGCAGCTATCCAGGGCAGTTTCACCATTTCGTAAAAGGTACCTTTGTAATTCCAAATTACAACTGGATTAAAAAAATTTAGAGAGTATCTTAAGCAATATCTACTATCCCACATATAATATATTTTGCTTTAATGATCTTTAACTGTCAATCCTGCTGGGGATTTCATAATAGAAAGTTAAACAATGTTTTATCTCCTGGAAGCTCAGTGTGTTGCTGACTTCTACAATCCCCTGAGGAGGCAAATTTCTTTTAGTACTTAACTGAGCGTCTAAGTAGGCACACTGTTTACTGAAGATTGTTTAGGTTACTTTAAAAAGTTGCTGTCAAGGACACTCATATTACTGTTTTTAAAATGTCATTTTAATTATCTTGAATATTTTAATTGTTATGAGGCTTCTCTGACATATAAAGACACCTGGACATATCACTGTTTCTAGGGACAGTTTACACATAGTAATATTCCAAAAAGGAGCTATCAGTTTCCACGATGACTTGGGTGGCAGATGGGGAGATGAGGACAGCAAGAATGGAACATGGCCCTGCTCTCACTGTTGCCCAAGTTACACGTTCCTCAGTTCATAGTTTTGGTCAGATTTTTCCTCCAAGCCTTTTAAAAAATCTTGACAGTGATAGACATTGGTATATTGTTTCCTTTAAAACATATCAAAAGACCAGATAACTTCCTTTTGGGGAATTCCCATTCTGGAAAAACTTATATGAAGTATATATAACCTCATCCAATTTTAGATATAATACATACCTTATTTCATTTTTTGTACTTTTACACGGGTAAATGGTTTCCTTTTATATGGAATGCTTTATTCCCCTGGTCATAAGGAAACTCACAAACCTTAATCTTAGGATTGTTTTTGCTCACAGTGTCCTTGTTAATTAAAGTAACCAGAGGTATGAATGGGTAAGGTGTGCTACTCTTTCTGCAGTATGCATACTATAAAGTGTGTTAGAAGGTAGTCTGAACTTTCTATGCAGTTGGAGAAGCTTCATCTATGTTCTGGGCTGCACTACTTTTCTTCTAGAGTTGGGAATAAACTCTACAGAGAATTCTGCATTTTTGTGACTACCATGAATATTCACTTTCTATGATGTTCAAATAACATCTTACCAGAAAATTTTGAGGATACTATTTATATCTGTGGAGGCTGTTTAAGTAAGCTGAGGGGAGGTCAGGATGAAGTTTAATGCTTCTTTGTGTTTTTGTGCATGCCAGATGTTTTATATAAAAAAATTACTAAGCAAATGTTTAACCTGTTTATTTATTGCTTACATTAGTGTTTTAACTGTGTGGTGTATTATCAAGCATTTTCCTTGGTATTTATGTACTTACTTGAATATATTCCAATTAGAGATTTAATTGCCATTAAAGTGGTAATAGGATAAAGATAAGTTTTACAATAATAATTTTTTTTAAAAAAAAACCACATAGCCCTGTAGGAAGGTTTAAATGCCATTGGAATATAAAGCAAGAAATATATGCTTGTCAAATATACAGTATAAATAAATAATTTAGATGAAAATGGTTGATACATTTAACAAAGACTCTACCAAATAATGAAGGGCTAAAGAGTGGTTGTTAGATTTTATGTACTTCATTGTATATTGTAAGTAATTGCTATCCATAAAAATTCTATGGCTTCTATATAAGAAAAAGAGACATTTTGACAGGCAACACTAGGATGCAGTGACAGCAAGCACAAATCCCTGGCAACTGTCATTATCCTGCTGTTGAATTCACATCTAAACTCTGTGATAAGTTAGACCTGCATATTTGTTATTGAGCCATGGTCTGTCAAAGTAGCCACACTTCTCACTTATGAATAGAATTATTAGCCACATGCAGATTTACTCTATAGAAATCTAAATTTGCCAAGGATGCTTTGTGTTCCAAAGGGCACAGGAGAAAAAAAAACTCCCTGTCATTTTATGCTTATGCTAAAATTTCTCCTGAAATGTTTTTGACCAAATGAAAATTGAATTTTTAGTAAATAACAGATTGATTTATGTTTTATCCTCTAATTCAATATTAGTAAAACTTTTAATAAAACTAAAACTAAAGAAAGTATAATTCAGATGATTACCTGTGTGCTACATTAAATTTGCATTATTTTTAATGTACTTTCCTTTATGAAGGTAGGTAGTAGAAATAAATCAAAGGGTATAATTATAGAATATTCAGCTGAAAGTGACTTTAAAAATGAGAAAGCTTTTATTATCTCACTGAAGAACTTCATGGAGTAACTATAGTGTTAACTTTAGTGGCTCAGTGGTGTTATAAAAAAGACTAGCTCTTCACACCTTCCCCTGCAATCCTCAGAACACTGGCCAATTCTTTTTGCTTGGCCCCTCCTGCTTGCCAGATAGATCAACACATGTTCACTCAACAGTATCTGAAAAAAACAAGAGAGTCGTTTGGATGACCAAAACCCACCAAACAAAAGGAATTTTCCCAGAAGGCTTCTCATGTCTGTTGGCTAAAAATATAGAAAAGCAGAATATTTGATCTGCTAGGGACAAGGAAAATAGAATTTCCTCGCTGGCCTTAGACAACTGGGCATTTGCACACTGAGGCTGATCGGAGACCACCTTCCATGAGCACACAAGGAGGCTGAGTTCCCCAGTGTGACTGAAGCTTTGTATCTAAGCAAAATAGAAGCGATAATGGTTCTGATGGGATTTCTGGCTTAAGCTGTTCAATATTTTGTGTTTTAAATTACTTTTGTAAGTTGCATTATGTGATACATTTTTTACACAGTGCCATAGTTGGCAAAAATTTCTGCACACAAGTCACTGCTTAAAAGATATAAAAACAGAGTTTTTTGCTCTTCTATGGGTAGAGAGAAATCACCTCAAATCATATAACAAGCAAATATAGCCGTATACAAATTCTTGCACTCCACCCCATTTCCCTCAGCATCCAAGATCAACCCCAGAACTTTAAACTTACTAGTCAAGTGCTTTACTCTGAGTTGTATCCCTAACCAGTTTTTTTTTTTTACAATAAAGGTTATTTCTTTCTCATTTTTTATTTTATTTTATATTTTTTACATATTTTTCACCCATCAGCGCTGCCTATGTGCACAAGGGTGTAGGAAATCCACTGGGCCATGGGCAACCTGCCAGTAGCCACCTGCCTAAGAGCAGAGTGATTCTGCTTCCCTCCAAAGGCTCAGAGCATGCCATGGGTGAGTGGGTGGGAGGAGTGCAGTGAATCACAGTCTTCTGGATATTGCACACATGAGCTCATACTAGCTCTGGTTACCAACACAAGACCTGTACAAGATCAAGTCTGTTAAATTCTAACCCTTGGGACTAGAGCAATGGCTCAACAGTTAGGAACGTGTATACTCTTCCAGGGGATCTGAATTGAGTTTCCAGCACCCAGGCCAGGCAGTTTAGAGCCCCATGTGAAGGAGTTAGTTGTCACATCCCTTTATGAAGCCCTTTTAATGCACCTAATCCATGACTTTCTTCTTGCAGTAACCAGGGCATTTAATTTACAGTTAATAACAATTAGCAACTGTAAATTTATGTGTGTGAATATGAATTTAAACATTTTGGTCATCTAATTCATAATTATTTTAATGCAAATGGCTGTAGAAAATAAGTCCCCAATTCAGGTTAACACTTAGCACTTTTGAAGGAAGTACAATTATGATTATAGATTACCTGGAAGAATGTGATCTTCAGATTCTAGCTATAAAAGGTCCTGCTCTGCAATGACAGCTGAGGGATTTAGAGGATGGCATGGAAGTACTTGTGTTCTCAACTGTAACTGTGAGTTTGAAAAATATGATTTTTGTTAGTTTTTCATAGAACTGCTATAATAAGCCAATAAGGCTTTCTAATGTTATTAAAACAGAGACAATGAGAAGAAAAACCATTTTTACCAACTACCCTTTCTCTGCCTTCAGATATAAATCTTTAGGGAAAATCAAGTAATAAATAAATTTACCATTGACCCACTTATTTAAATGTGATTGTGTTTTATCACTTACTAAGTCATATAATTTTCTGTCTTTACAATACTAGAATCATAATTAGATGAGAATAATTTTATATTCCCCCAAAGATGCAGTGTTGAGTTGGCTATTCTTGGTCATCAACTTGACTTCATCTGTAATTAACTAAAACCCAAATGTAGGGGCACACATTGAGTGAATTTTTCTTAATTAAATCATTTGAAGTGGGAAGACCCCCCATAAATCTAGATCATTAAGGTGGGAAGTTACAGCTTTGATCCAGAACTTTTGAAGTGGGAAGATCTACCTTTAATCTGGGCCATACTTTCTGATGGCAGCCTATATAAAGAATATGAAAAAAGGAAGCTTGTTCTCTCTTTACCTGCTTGCCCATACTATCACTACCAAGTTCATTCCTCCACTGGCATTAGGGCCTACTTCTTGAGAATTCTGGCATATACTGAAGACCAGTTGCAACATCCAGCCTTGTGGACTGAACAACTCTAGATTCTTAGAACTTCCATTGGTAGACAGCCATTGTTGGACGAGTTGGAACACAGCCATTCTAATAAATCTCACATATTATATAATATGTTATATATATATATATATACATATATACACATGTTTGACTAACACTAGTGTCATCCCAGAAGAAAAGAAAGACCAACTTGGTAGATGTTTGAGTAGTTCCAGTTACAGGTGTGTGAGACCTGTGTGAAACCATAGCATCTTCTATGCCTCATCCTCCCACTGCTGGGTGTTCTCAAGTATGCCAAAGCTTGTTCAATCTGATTAAACCGGCAAACCCTACCCACCACTGAGACTTGCTGTTTCCTTATCATCCCAGGTCATATGGCCCTGTGTCAACACATTCCTGTTCTTCTTAATGCCACTCACACACCTTGAATACTGGGGTATGGGTGCCCACCTGTCCCAGTTTATCTGAGACATGTGACTTTCAACCCCAGAACTCCAGAAGTTCTGGGTAATCTTGGATGAGTAAGTCATCCCAGCTCAATCAGCTTCTTTTTTTTTTTTTTAATGTTTTTGTGTATGGGTGTTTTGTGTGCATGTGTGTCTGTGCACCTTGTGCATGCATGTTGTCTGCAGAGGCCAGAAGAGGGCATCTCCTGGAATTGAATCGCAGATGGTTGTAAGCAGTCATATTGGTGCAGGTCCTGTAGAAGAGCAGCCATTACTCAACTGCTGAACCATTTTTTGCAGTTCCTATCAACCCTATTCTCACTTGTGCTAAGTCAGCTCTCTTAAATTACTTTTGCTCATTTAAATATACATCCATATATTCACTTAAAATATATTCGCTACTAACTGATAGTTTGCAAGTCCTATGCCTGTAGGGACCATATCTCTTTAACTATTTCCTAGTACTTAGATCACTTGTGTTTAATAAAGTAAATCATAAAATTATAAATTCTCATTATTTTAAAGCATTATTCAAATTTCTTTAGTTTAACTAAATAAAATAATAAATCTCAGTGGTAGGGCAGGCTTGAGTGCAAGTTTCTACCCTGTCTTTGCTGATGACATATGTTTACTTACCCTTTCTGATTTTCATCTTAAGTGTAAAGGCAAGTTGCAAATACTGCCTTCCCTCCAGGAATATTACAAGTCTCAAAATCCTGAGCGAGGAACACTTTTGTCTAACTGATATTGCATGGTAGATTTTTAATAAGTTATTACAATGGATTCATTGTACTCTTCCATGTGCTGTATCTTTTAGGGAGTTTATGTCAAACCAGGAAAAAGCTGTTATTAAAACGGTTGTTTGCAGCTTCAGTTTGGCCCCAACAGACTTTTGCATTCAGCGGCTGTATCAAAAGGGTCAGGCCTTCATGATTGTTCTACACATCAAACAGCATCAGATCACAGTCAGGAGGAACCATCAAACCCAGATAGCTGCAAATCCAAGAGTAAAAACAATTCTTGTTTTATGTCGGCATCCAAGAGAAACAGACCTGTCAGTGTGCCAGTGGGTCAGCCGAGGTAATCAAAGCTGTTTGCTCTTCTTTTCAACCAACTGTTGAAGCTCTTTTATTTGAGCAGAATTTATAGTGATTCCGTTGACTATTTCAGACATTAACACATAGCATATCGTTTGGGTTTGAGTTCTGTTTTCTGTTATTAGATTTTTACTTTGAAAACACTGGGGTCAGAGTGTTGCTAATTACATTTTAGAAAACATGAGATGCACTCCAACCTGGGTCATCAAAAACTGAAAAGAATGCTGGAGGCAGAGTGTTTGCTTAGAAGACATTTATTTGAAATAGAAATGTTTGCTTTTGGTATTTAACCAATACTTTGGAACAGAATCAAACAGAAATGTAGTTATAAAATCATCTGGTACATACATTTTTAGAGTATTGCAAACTGTTAACCTAAGAGGTAATGGGCAGAAGAAAATGTGGCGAAGGTGAAAAGTAAGGCACTGAGATTTCCATTGCGTTTAGGTTTTTGAATATACAGTTTATTGTAGTTTTAACTTAATTTACTTCAAGTTTTTATTTTAAAATATTGACTTTACTAGCCTTGTAAATGAAAATGATTAGAGAGAATTCTGAATGAAATATTTTTTGGCAGTTTACCATGTCCTTTTGAAAAAAATAAAAACTGGTATTGAATGAAGATAAAAACCTGAAAATCTCAACTCTTACTACCCCCCAACTTGAAATTATAAAAATATAGGCAATAAGGTTAACTTTTGAATTCAAGTTTTCATCATAATATCCCTTTATTAATTTCTTATATCCTTTAAAAATGAAAGAACTTTCTTTCATAATTGTAAACACTTGTGGAAAAATCTTAGCCATTTAATATTCTGTGATATTAAGCCCCTACTATTGTTTTGGCTGTCAAAACATGGCAGATGTCTGACTGGCTCTAATTCTTCATGTACATAATCTAAAACAAGAATGCTTTGGGGTTTTATTAGTAAATGGCCAGAATGATTCCTTCTGAGAGAGGAACAGTTTTGGCAAACATCCTATTGTGTGTTTGGATACTTAAACAGTGCTGATCTCATTGTATCAAAAGTTTTGCTGTGGGATCTTATTTGTAGTAACAAGTTTAAGTGCTTATATTAGAGAATTGTGAGATAGCATTTTTTTTTTTAAGTTTTAAGTGATTAATATCATGCACCAAGTTTTGTGGTTTTTTTTTTCTTTTAGAGCATCAGAGTCCTCTCTAAATCTGAAGTCACCCCACAATTGCCAAGTGGGATATAAATTTCAACGAAGAGTCATTAGAGTGACGGCTTACAAAAATGGATCTGGAACAACCTTCGCCAAAATTACTGCACCAACCATCGCCTTGGTAACTAGTACCCCAACATTTTCAGTTCTTTATCTCTTATTCTCTTTGTAATACAAACAAATAAGAAAAACAATTATTGTGTTAAAATCTTGTATAAATCTGAACCTGTACATTGCTTATACAGTCACAGGAATTTTACTACTTTTCTACATTAAAGTAAATACAACTCTGTGGTTAGTAATTAAGCAGATTAATTAAACAAATACAATGGCTATGCATTTTGGAGAATTGTTAAAACACAGAATGTTTATAAATAAAACTAGACAATAATGAGATATTTTTACCATTTGATTTGTTTTTTGTTCCCACATTTTCAAGTGCTGGAAACAGTCACAGCATTGATTGAGGTCCTGAACCTGACACGTGACTCCGTTGGCCTTCTATTTTTGTTCTGTGGGAATGTGCTGCTTTCTTTATATATCACTATGTCCTACCTGTTACTTTCTCCTAGTTGCTGGAAGCGTGCACACACAAGCTGAATCTGAACATGGCCGCACGACGAGTGTTCTTGGCAGACGGCTCAGAAGCCTTCAAACCTGAAGATATACCCCATGAAGCCAATGTTTATATTTCAACAGGAGAGCCCTTTTTAGATCCATTCAAAAAACTTAAAGGTAAAAAAGAAAAAGAAATACCACACTCCCCCACAATAAATTGCTTAAGGAATGCAATTAAAAAATGATTTTCTTCCTGTCTTTTTTGCATGGTTTAACAAAACTAATGTTTACGCATTTACAGCTCAGTAAGAGGATAATGTGCTTAATGAAAGAAAAATCCACTGACAGCCACGTTTATTGCCCTTCATTAGCATTGGTGCTTAATTTAATATAGATCTGAATAGACATTAGGGAGCCTGCAGGAGGTTAAATGGTGAAAATATAATAAATTAAATCAGAGATTATTGAATTTACTGTTTAGTTTCTGTGACACTCAGCAGACATAATTCATTAGATGTATGCTCTCAGAAAATAGTTCAGAGTTTCCAGGATCATCTTTTCATTTACACTCTTGGTCTTTTTTTTCAGATTGCATTAACATAATTAAGAAATTGAGGCAACTAACGAACAAATAATTCTATGTACATGTGATTCTCCCAGTAACATTACTCAGAAAATGCTATAGCTCAATCTTAATTTTTTAACTTTTAAATATTTATATTTATGTATTTATATATAGAATTTCAGACAGAGATTCTGCTCAGGGTTTTTTTCCCATGTCCTGATATTTAAGATTTTGGACATGTGAGGTTGTCTAAATTTTAATTTCTAAACTAAAAAAGCCTCTTCTCAATGTGAAATAACACATTTAAAGAAAGAAAGGAAAGTAACAGAATTTTAAAACATTCTTCCAAGCATGTTGTACAGAGAGCTCATTATCCAGTCTTCCACACAATAGTAGCTTTAGGTAATGTGAAAGACAGCCTTGCCATAAGAACCAGTGTGTCTGACTGCTGTGCCCCTGGTGCTTCTAATACTGCCTTGGAAGCAATTTCTCTGCCACTCCTGTAAAGTTGGTGGAGCAAAGGCAAGCCTAGGCAGTGACTGTATGAGCCAAAGGAAACTAATTCTAGAGATCATTACAGTGGAGACAATGGAAGACCCCATGCATTAATGTTACCATATGAGATGACACTAGAATTTTCATTATGTCCTTAACACTTGACATCAGAAAAGAAGCAGTTTCTTGAATTGGGACACTGTGGCACCTATAAAGGGAGCTGCTGGTATAGCACTCACTGCACCTCCCTGTGTGATAGCAGACTCACATGCTTTCAAATTTTGCTTTAACTTTAGACAGTGCCTGTCTCTTTTTATATCCATAGAAACATTTGCTTACACAAAACATTTTAATAGGCAAATATGTTTCTATAATTTTAAAAAACTCCATATATTTATACACAATCTCTTCACCAAAATCCTTGATTAGTTTTATAAGGATAGGAAATTCATGCTTTCTAGTGAACGATGGTATCACAAAAGAAATATATAGAGATCATCTGTAGGTAAACTAAGAGGAAAAAATCCTGGACATGTATGCACAAAATAATAATGTCACATTTTTAACTATTCTTGGTGGATGGCTTTTAAATATACAAGCTAATTTCTTTTCCCTCCCCACTTTATCTTTTTGAGAAGCCAAGTCCAGATCAACAACAACAAACTTCTCTGCTTTGTCTGCACATCTTTGGCTGTGTTTCATTGTGACATGCACTGCTGTTCTTTTAGCACCAAAATGTTGGCACACACTCCTGAAAATTTCACACCATCTCTTGCTGGATCAGCAAGCTTAACCCACCAAAATCTGGTGTTGTGCAATGGTTTTTGACTGATAATCAATCTTTATGCTGCTCGACAGTTGTTACTGGGACACGGAGCAGAGCAGGTGGCAGATGTGTCTTGTCTTTTGAGAGAAGGAATTGTAGGTGAGCTTGGACACAGACTAGCACATCACATGCCCATTAAAAAGATGTAGGATAAGTATAATGGGAGAAAGCCACCATCTAATTATACTCCCAGATAAGCTTAAACACTTTCAAAATGTTGAGAACATAAATGTAAATATATGTTTGTACACACACAGACACACAGACACACACACACACACACACACACACACACACACAGAGAGAGAGATATAGGTATATAAACCATGTATGGATGACTTTGAAGACAGAAGACAAGCTTAGCACAAGGAGGTGCAAAGCACTGCTGAGGACAAGCAGGAAAACTACTGGTCAGCATCAGTGACACAGCCGTCTCATTTGCATGTGTGTTTTAGAGACAGTCAGCACAGAGGCACCACAGTCAGTAACGTGACAGTATTTTAACTGAATTTCATTCTCCCAGCAGCTTATAGGAGATTTCTATGTGCTTGCAAATAACCAGCTAGATCAGAGGAGATAAAAGTAAGGACTAATGGTTATCTAGCTGCTTTTTCTGTTTCTAATTGTTCTCTCATCTCTGTTTTAAATTCAGTTTACCTCAATTCAATAAAATCTAAGGCAATACACATTTTTATTGTGTGGCTACTATGTATTTAGCCCTGGCATCGGGATAGAGGTCCAGGACTTTGCAGAGCTTTACAAGGTCTGTAAGTCATAATATGAATACTTAGTAGTAGAAACACAATTCAGTAGTATATATATCAAATGGATTCTCCCAGGAACAAATTTATTATTTTATTTCTCCCACAAGAAGATCAAATCAGTCAGCATACTATTTTGGCAATTATATTTTCATATTTTATTGGTTTTCTTACTTAAGCTTCAGAAAATCAGTATATATAGTGTAAATTGCCTCTTCTGGAGAGTAACCCCAAATTTACTAAGGAAAAAGCCTCAACACTGTTCATTGTCCCTTTGAGTATCATTGTTGACAGCCAGTGTTACTGCCTCTAAAGGACTAAGAGCTGTCCACACACCTCAGAATACAGAGGGGTCATTTACAGGTCAGGCCAAGGTTGAGACTGACTGGAAGCATCACCAGTTAAAATGTAGAACTAGATTACTTCCTGTATTTTGAATTGAATACCTAATTAGAAAGGTTAGGGTGGGGGATTTAAAAAAGAAAATATGGAAATAATCAGAAAATAGAAATGTTTTATATGAAGACTATTCATGAAGATGTCTTACTAGCTCTTATAATTCATCATGGGGCGATTCTGACATTTATTAATGATCATGTCAGAAAGAGGCCTTTGACCAAACTCTCAGATTCATGGTTATATTGTTTAGATTTTGTTCAGCTTTCCATAGCCTCTGCTTGGTGTCAGTAAAGTGAAAATCTCCTGGATCCACTCCATGGGGATTTTTAAGAGTTCAGCTAAAGATACAGGCCATGCCCTAGCATGACTTATGTATTATAAAGAGGATGGGACCAAGTTTTATTGTATGGAATCTGATTTTTTTTAAAAGAGTTTGTGGTCCTGTGTTTTCACCTCTTTACATATGCTGCTCTGCTATTTGGCTCTCATTTATAGCAATTCCTTTCTATCTTGAGCTTTGTTAAGGAGACTGAAGGTTGAGTATTATGGGTAAGACTGCTCATCCTTTACATGCTGTAAGATGTAGTCACAGGGGAAAATATCCATGAAAGGAGTTCTCGATACCACACCTAAGATCTATATTTAAACCTGGATTTTCTGCTAGCTGCCATGTGATCTACCAAATGAAATAATTTGCTGTGACAGCTTGTGATTGACAAGAATATGTGTGAGCACATTTAAAACAGGCCAGCTTTTCATGTAGAAGTAAATGTCAGTGAAATGATGGATTCTCATCATTTTAATTATTGATGATTTGGAAATATTTCAATTCCATGACACACAGGACACATTATAAATAGCAGCATAACACTTTTTCTCATATCTGCGTCAATAATGAAATGTTCTGTCATATTTTGTTTTTCAAAAAATGCATTAGTTTAATGAACCTGGAATCATGCATTATTGTTTCATTATATGTCTAGTGAGTTTGACTTCAATGGCTGCTTTATTCTGCCAATGCTAACTCTAGGCTTTGTGACATGTACCTATAGGGCTACCATGCCTTAATTCATAGTTAGGCTTAGTTTTCTCATGTTCTTTTTCATTGTTTTCTTTGAATAGTATATATGTACATATATATTAGATAAGATCATTTGTTTATCTCCCACTTAGCTGCATATACTCAAAAGTAGGAAAATGACATTATAGAAACATATTCTATTTTGATAACTGAATGTAAAACTATAGTCATATATTTCACACATTTTCCCATTCCAACTCTTAAAAAAATTAGTATAAATGAATGTGAGTTTGAAGTCACTTGCAAAAGACCAAAAAGTTCCTTTAGGTGATAGGAAAAACTGAAGCATATGTGTGTATGTATCTTTAGGACATGTGAATTTCAAATACAAAGTCATCGAGAAACATCCAAATTCTTAGTATTTTCATGAAATATTGAGCTGTGTGTTTATACATAAGTCGTACTTCTCTAATAAATAACTGCAAATCTATTACTATCCATACAATCTAAATGATGGTTTGCGTGTGCCAAGCACCCAGTTATGAACGGAGGACTAAGTATAATACACTCACTACTCTCACACCTGAGTTAATGCTACAGACCATTATAACATATTATGTGTGGTTCCAGAATCCAACATTGTGTAAGTCTAATTGTTTCATTACTCATTGATATCTAAACCTTATTTAGCATAGTCAAGTGTATTGTTGAAATATAAATAATTTCTTAGATTATGAGTCCTCACTCAGTGTTTTTCTGAGAAAATTCCATAATATGCCTTTAAGATATAAATATGTTAACTTTAAAAATTTTCTCTTTCTCTTGGGTGTGTACGTGTGCATGTGTATGCAGAGAACAGAGGTAAATATCAAATGTCTTCCTTGGTCACTTGACACTTTGTTTTTTGACTCAAATCTCTCACTGAACTATTTGGCTAGACCTGCTGTTCCATGAGCCTGAAATATCCACTTTCAGTTTCTATTCCCCCAGTTCTGGGATCACAAGCGAGCCACCATGCCAGGTTCTTTGCATGGACACTGAGAATCAAACTCTTGTCCTTATCAAGCACTTTTTATCAAGTGCTTTATCAAGCCCTGGGCCATTTTCCCA